CAGAGCACTGAACTCCAGACCATGCAGGCTTTAAGCAATAACCTTAGTTTGAATTAAAGCCAGTGGTAGTGGTAGCAGTGGTCTGTCCAGTGACGTGGGGGTATTCCCTGAAGTGGGTGCTGGGTCACAGAGCCCTGGGACAACTACCCAGACCACTGTCCCCTCCAGGTCCCTAACAGGTCTGTGGGACTAGAAAGCGGGAATCCAGACTGTGGTAAAAAAGAGTCAACAGAATCACCACGATTCCTCATATGGTTTGAGGACCAGAACATTTATTTCTAGTCATTTCCTGGTCTGGCTAGTGGTTTAAATCTTGTCTCCTTTTACCACTTTATATGTGCACTCTGATCTGTGTCTTTCACACCCCTGACCTCGGCTGCCTCACCGTGCTCTGTCTTGGTGTGCCGCATTTGCTAAATCGCACCAAAACCTTCAGGAACCAGGCCTTCCTCTTTCACCTGGTTAAATCCCTCTCCTGTCCTCTTAAGCTCCTTCTTCCCTCCCCAACCTCAGTCCCCAGCCAGTCTCCTCACTGTCACTCTCGACTCAGTCACTGTAATTCGCTCTTTCTCCACGCATCATTTTTCAGCCGCTTTCAGTGTTTAAAGCAAAATTATTCACTCAGTGGGGCCCTAGGAGTTGCTCAGCAAACAGAATTCTAGATGCTTGTCATTTGTGGATTTGATGGTCTCAGTTTTAACTCTTCAGAGACCTTAAAGCCACCATGACATGGTATTTGCACTTTTCATGTGGTAAGTGCCGCAGGCTGATGGCCCAGGGAGTTCTACAATAGAGCCCAGTGATGAGTCCACCTGGTGACCAGCATCTGCATCTGCTTTGCTCTCTTACTCACTGTCACCTCCACAGTGATTCTTTGAAATGATTAAAAACTTCCTTCGAGAACAAAACTGACGGCTAAGGCAAAAACTGGAGTCAACAGTTCTCTGGCCGAGCCTTTGCTGTTTTTGTGAGGATTATTTAGGAAATTGGTGATTCAAATGAAATGGCTGTGAGGAGCAAGCTGGGCACAGGCGTGTCTGTGTTTGAACTTTGCTGTGTTTGCCTCTTCTTGGCTTCCTATAGAGTTCTCCTTTGCAGATGTTCCCAAACCATTTTTTCACCCTTTCTGTCACCTTCAGGGTCTGATTAAGCCAACCCCCACAGCACTGCTGTTTCTTCCAGTCTACCCCTTCTTCATCCCTCAGACTTCTGTCTCTCCCAGGAGCATCCTGCTTTGCCTGCCACTTCCCTTCTCCTTTTATTTAAATCTTCTTCTCTTCCGTAGCTTACCTAATTCCTGTGTCCTCTGTCCAACCTTTTTTGAGCATCCATCCTCAGGGGTCAGTACCCTGCCACCCACTGGCTGTGCAGCCGGGCAGAGGCGTGAGTTTTCTGGTGGCTGCCCAGCACAGAAACATTATTTCAGCTGAGCCTCCTTGGTGACTTACCTATTGCTGTTCCCAAACCACGAGGCTGAGCCCAGGGCCTTCCACGTAGTGGGCATGTGATTTTGACTTAGCAATTTGCGTCAGAGGGAAAAGCAAGTATTAGACATGATAGAGTTTGTTAAACTGGGTTATTAAAGAGATTGTGGTTCAGGAGTAATCAGGTAACAGGAGTAGGGAACCAGAGAGAAAACTAGCTTTTAGGAAGACTGGTTGGCTTTGAGTAGAGATTTTGGCGAGTTGGGCAGGGGACCCAGTTTTGGGAGGAGACGGATCGGTTTTTCAGCCTATTGAGATTTTTTTAGCCAAATGAGAAATCCTAGTAAGGAGGTGGAAATTTAGGGGAAATATCAGTGGATAATGTGTATTTTGCAATGTGTATGTTTTCCTTCTTTTTTGAATAGTGTCCCGAGCAAGAGAAGCAGTCCTAGACGCCCACTTTCTCGTTTTGGCTTCAGATTTGGGCAAAGAGAAAGCAAAGCAGCTGCGCTCCGATCTGAACTCCTTTGATATGTTACGATATGTTGAAACTCTAGTAAGTTCAAAGCTACAGAATCTTAATAAAAATGTTTGTCTGTCATGCATTGTATAATTAT